CAGGGTACTCCACAATCAATGTATAACCTGGGTCCTTTGTTTGTAGCCTAATTAGCATCTAAGCAGGAAGCACCGAACATTTGCGACAGTCTAGAAACAATGTAGGATGTTTAAAGAGGGCAATATCCTATAAATCAATTTGATTGGCCAATTTCAACGAGGGGACATCAATCTTCACAGAAAAAAAGCCACCTTCGCCTGTCATGCATGTGACCCAATTTTAAAAAATTTTGATGTGTATATTGCCTTCAAAATAGGCATATTGCTTACTGCATGCGTTTCTTTCTGTTAAAAAAAAAAGAATTATGCTGATAGCTCGAATGGAACAGAAGTTATTTTCCCTCCAACTTGGCTAATGTGCCAAAATTGCTGTTTTGAGAAAACGAGGAAAAACATTTCAAAACACCTTTATTGGAACAAATACTAATAAAATTTTATGAAAATACCCAAGGGGCATAATCTGGATGCATCCCATCCTTATGCTTCTTCTTGATCAGCTTTTTCAGACTGAGACGTTTCTCTCTATTTATTTGAGGTTGTACTCTGACAACAGTCCTTCTCCCTAGACCTCAGGGATGTGCTGCTGAATATCATGATCTCCACTGCCCTAGAATTGCAGCAGATGCATTGACATTGCCCGTGTTAAAGCACAGCACTGCTTCTGCAACAGCAGCTTGCACAGCAAACAGAAAAGCATGCTGCTCGTTTGATAACAAACTCCAAATCGTAAATTGGAGGCTTTCGTGTGAATTCTGAGTTTTGCCTTGTTGGCATCTTGCCTCGCTGCTGCACCACTCGACTCCGAAAAGCTCTCAATTTCTCGCGCTGTTGCCGACACGACGAAAGACCCTCAAAGCGTGGTTGTCTCGCGGGCACGAACTTCACTGGCACTGATCATATCAGCATCTACCCGCGCACGCTGGACTGAAGTCGACATCGCACGCGCTGTCAGGAAGGCTCGTGTCTACGCGCACTTCATACTTGCCGATAGCATCAGCACAGTCATAAACCACAAAACGTCCGCTATCCGGGGAAGCCGTCTCGCCCACTCCTCTATCGATAACATCTTCAATACATTGGCGGCCAGCGTCCATGCCGCGCACGCACGAGGAACAGTATTCGGTTACGACGGCGTTATCAAGACGGTGTTATCAAACACCGTCTGCGCTTGCTCCCGAGACACAGTAGCAGCACCATTGGGCGTTCTGCCTCTGCCTTTCTTTTGTGAACGGCCAAAATGATGCTGCAATCGGAACTTTTGTTGAACCGCCGGGCACAGCTAGGCACACAAGCACGTTAGGTATAGGAGTCATGACACCTTCACAAGGGCGATACCCTTTCAAAATGGCGTCAAACACTGCCAGGGAGTTTTCCTTACCAATCTGGAAACTCCATTTGGGTGACATGTGTCAAGCAGCCAATGGAATCACGTGCTGCGCGTAATTCCGACTTAGCTTTTTTTGCTTTTGCGAAGGGCACATAGTTGTCTACTGGAAGAGAAAATAAAAGCTAGAAACACAACCTTTCCAACAAGACCAGAATAGCGCTGGTTGAGCACGTAGTTCGTGTACCGTTGGCGGTTGAAGTACGGCTAGTTTACACTGCAGTTTAAAGGTCCACTTGCACGAAGTTGCTCTCCTTATGTGTTATAACTTGAGAAAAAAAAAAAAAGAGGCATTGCGAAGCCAAGCTTTGCTGATAGGTGTGGAAGAGCATCGGGAACACGAAATAAAACCATGCCTACTGGTCGGAGCATCCGCAATTCGGTTTTAACATGGCCAGCTCTGAGTATTGAGGCAATCGCTGGCTACATTGGTGTCTGTATGAAGGCCACTGTGAAGTGGGTAAGCCTTTTACACATCCGTCTCTTGCTTTTTAGGGTCAATAGCTGATGGTGTAAAAAAAAAGAGTTCACGGTCCCTATTCGTTGCTTCCCTCTCTTTCTATCTGGCGCATGAACTTGAGGCACAATGAGACTGCTCGTAAACTTTTTTCCTACTAACCTCTGCTTCACGTCCAGGCAGCACGAAAACAGCTTTGGCAACTGGAGTACCGTATAAACCGGATTATAAGTGGAGATATTTGCAATAAAATAATAAGCTAAAGTCGCCCCTCGTCTTATATAGCGGTGTCTAGCCGAAAGGGTGCCACTGCCTGGCAACATGTGGCTTGCGTTTGTGTGAGAAGCCGGACGCGGCCATATCCGCATCCAAATCCAATCGCATGCTGTTTTTTCTCTCTCTGTCTGTCTGTTTTCTTTGTGTTCGTGATTTGCTTCCGATCTGTACTGAGTTTTCGCTTCGCTTGACATTGCGCTGCATTTTTAGTGGTCTCTTTGTTCACTGAATATAAGTAGCGGTACGAGGAGGCAGTACTGAGCTGCGTTTAAACTAGATGTTGTTGAGTTTGCAGAAGCGAACAGGAATATGGCTGTTCAGTGCCGCTTTGGTCTATCGGGAAAAAAGCGTGCGCTATTGGAGGACTCGGAAAGGGAAGCTGCAGATGTGCAATACTCGAAAAATGTCGTTTCGTGGGCGAAGTGCCGTTCATCCGCAGCTGGAGGATAAGCTAGCGGACTTTGTGCAGGAAGTTCGTGCGCGCTTGCTGCCAGTGACAGTGGATACCATTCTCAAGAAAGCCGTGGAACTCGCTCGAGAAGCTGGGCTCACGAGAGAAGAGTTTTGTGCACCAAACTCTTGGGTGCATCGATTTATGCGACACAAAGGATTTTCTCTCTGGCGGCGCACATCCATCTGTCAAGAGTTGCTGGAGGAGTTCGAGGACAAGCTTTCAGCGCTTCGTGAACTGGCTTCGGGAGCAGAACAACTACATTATGGGGCAGATTGGCAACGCCGATGAGAGCCCCGTGTGGTTTGACATGCCTTCGTCGACCTCGATCACGCAGCGCGGCGCCAACAAGGATGTGAAGCTGTTGTCCACTGGCAACGAGCACTCTCGCTTCACCGTCATTTTGGCATGCACGGCTTATGGTAGAAAGCTTTCGCCCTTCACCATTTTCAAACGCAAGACAATGCCGAAGGAAGTGTTCCTGCCCGGTGTTGTCGTTCGAGTCAACAAAAAGGGATACATGGACGAGGCCATGATGCTCGAATGGATAAGAGTAGTGTGGAACCGTCGGCCAGGTGCACTGTTGCGTCTTCGCAGCATGCTAGTGTTGGATGCGTTTCGTGCTCACTTAACCGACGCTGTCAAACGCGCACTCGGCGACTGGAAAATGAACTTCTCCGTGATACCAGGTGATATCACGTCCACCCTCCAGCCGCTCGACGTTGTGCTAAACGAGCCGTTCAAGGACAGAGTGCGGCTGGAGTACCAAGAGTGGATGTCCGGCGACAACCCAAAGACATCGACGGGCTGCCTACAGAGGCCTCCGCTTGCGACTGTTTGTGGCTGGGTGTTTTCCGCCTGGCGTTTTTTGCCAGATTCCATAGTGGAAAATGCTTTCAAGAAATGTTACATCAGCAACTCGCTGGATGGCTCAGAAGATGCACTGTGGGAGGCGGCCAACAACAAACTTGTCTTCAAAAGATAGTGGTGCTTCGTCGGACGAATAGGAGGAGCTGCGATGGTGGTTGAGGGGAGCTCCGAGAATCGGGGTGCGGTGCGCCCAATTCGCAAATAAATATGGTTCGGCAGTCTTGCGTTGTTTTCCTTTATTTTTTTCAGTAATCAGAACTTGGGGGGGGTCGACCTATAGTCCGGTTTATACGATAGTCATTGGCCCTTTAGCCACCGTTCTGTTGAGTTAGGGGATATTGGGTCCAAAAAAATACAATTTGTTAGTTTCACTTAAGCTCTTGGCAGTGAATGCGATACCAACAAATTGTATTGTTATACCGAATAATAGGGCTTGACGTCATCCGTAAAAGCACTAGTGGCGGGTTTGCCATTTCGAAGGTCCGCACACTGCACTCACAAAAACTTGCTGCGCGTGCGATTTTCGATATCCCTACAGCAACTTGGATGACTACAGACACCCGGAACACCTTTTGCACGCGAATACGCGTACAGATGAAATCAGACTTGTTTAGAGCGCCCAGCCAGCCACTCCCACTGCTGTTTTCTATACCAAACGTGGTCATGCGTGTTAGGCCCTTGTGCATGAACGAAAGCTTGTCGCTAACATCGGATATAAAAGCCGTGGCCAACAACAGTGTCGAGAGGCACATGCTTCACTGCTGTAGGTCAATGTGATTCTGTCTGTACGGCATGTACGAATGGACCTCCAGAATGGCACGACAGTGGTGGGGCCGTCTTACAGTCTGTTCGCGTTGAGAATGCAAGGTAGAAGGGTATACTAGCCATTTTTAATGCCTGCCAAAGTAGCACGCACACTTGTGATTGCCCCCTAAATAAATGTTCCCTGTAATGCCCCCCCACCCCACCCCTCCTGCTTTCTTAGTTTCTTCAGCGAGCAAAGAGGGGTAGGCATCTGCTCCGAGAAGAGGGTGGGAAGGGCGAGCAAGAAACCGAAACCACCCAAAGCCGGTTGTTCTCAACCCTGTAACTTCTTTATAGAACTCATTGACAAAGCGCTTGCGGCAGCATTCTCACAATTTACAAGTGTGCAGTTATTTCTCCATTAAAAATTTTAGACCGCGAGGTTGTTTACTGGCTCATCGTTTTGAACAGCGCGAAAAACACTGGACACATAATGAAGAGAAACAGAAGAACGGGCGCCGGGTTCTAAAACTTTTTTTATTCACATGGACTCGCACATTAATACATGTACGTCGTCAGAAAAACCAGGTGATACAACATACAAAGTTTTTTCATGAATTTCTATTCAAATAAGATACTTCTTTTTGTTGCTGGGCTGGCTGTTAACTGGCGATAACTAGTGACGTTGAGCACATGGTCCAGTTACTTCATTAATAGACCTACATGCACGACTGCAACATGACTCATAATCAGATTAGGTTGTAACCTGTAATTTTGTGCACAATGATCTCTCAATGGTGCATGTGTTTTGTTTGCAGCCTACATGAGCAGTCCTTGTCACATTGAGGTCATCCTGAGTGAGAAGGAGCAGGTTGTTTCTGCACCATCTGCTGAAGAAGATGCGCCCAAGAAGAAGCAGTCCAAGAAGAAGATGGCACGCCAGAAGCTGATGCAGAGGGACTAAGCCCCTTCCACATCTGTACTATAAATAAAAGAAAATGCGGCCAGAGGAGCTCTTCTTGTTTTTACAAGCATTGCAAGCCTTCTCGCAATGTCTGTGCAGAATGAACATGGCACAAACTGATGCGAATGAAGGAAAAATGCAATGTGCACACCTCCTAGTCTCATGTTCCTGTTCACTCTTGCAGTGGACATAAAATAGGTTGATAGCAATGATGATTAATATTTGTTTGCCCATCATTAGAGCAACTTCTTGCAGTACAAGTTGGTTGCACACACTACCCTGTCTAGGAAAGTTGGAAGGCATCACTGCAGAAAATGTGCATATTGAGAAAAATTGCTCCTATGAACATTTGCGTAGCCCAGCATATGCTTAGGTTCTTGAGAGCAAAGCTTGATTCTCTATTTTTGTTATTGGTGTTCAGAGTTGCGTTCAGGATTAAACATGTGGGTTTGATTGACTGGGGTGCTAAGATGGGCCCAAGAGAAAATTGCTGCGAATTTGGTCTCTAGTTCACAGTTGCTGATAAAATGGACATGCACTTGGTGTATAGTGTCTTGGATATTTGCCGACAGCACAGTGCCATGATGTTGAGAAACCAGAAAGAAGCGAAAGTGGGAGAACATATGAAAGGAAAAAAAATGTAAACACTGGAAAATGGGTTTACTTTGAAACAAAGAACTCTTGTGGAAATATAACAGTAAATAAATGTTGAAATGTCTGTAAATTGAACATACAGAGGTTATTATTGAGAGAAATGAACTTTATTTGAGCCAGGCTCCTTGTGCTTCAGTGCTAGGGTGGGTGGCCTTGTCAGTTCAGGTAGCCTCCGTAATAGGGGTCCTCCCAGTTTTCTTTGTATTTAATGTTTTCATCATCATGGCAGTTGATGTTAACATTTGTGGATGGACTTGTGGTTAAAAGTTGGCTAAGTGAATGTTAAAGTGGTGGGTTTTCCCAATTTCATCTTCAGCCTTGAGTGTGTGCTGTGCGTTTTCATTCATTGGTATTTATTCTGTGTAGGATTCCTTTATTTGTGAGCTGTGGGACATCTTGGGGTTAAAAGCACGGTACCTGAAGGGGTGCTGACATGAAATTTTTCCACTTTTTTTTTTTACGTCAAATGATAGGCGAAGCACCCCAAGCGTACAAAACGTACCGGTAAGCGTGAGTGCACCCTGAAAAATTACAGCGTGCTTTTAAAAGCTAGTTACTGTTCCTCGTACCCTGTCGTCACGACACGGTATGAGTAGTGCCATGAGGCGGTAGTAAGTTTTCGTGAGGCACCCTCGTTGCCCTCGTCCCATGCTCTTCGTCTGCTTCGTTTGCTGCTGCGCGCCGAACGTGTGACAACCATACTCTATGTGGCAACTGTCTCGGCAGGAAGACACAACGTTGGCAAGGCGCATGTTCTTCGTCGACAACCCGAAGCCGGTCAGCAATTGCATGTTGTGCGTGTACGCGTCCAGAGTGAACAGCAGCGAACAAAGGATATCTGTGGCTCCTTCCAGCCACCATACAGAGGAGTAAACTCCGCTTGGTTGGCGTCCAGTCTCCGCCTCGGCCGCGGTGCATGAAGCCGACCCACACTTGCCTCAGCGCCGGATCGGACTGGAATTGGTGGAACTGGCACCTATTGTCCCCCGTTTCGCTAGCGCAAATATCAGCGCCATGGTGACTAATTCGAAATGAAACGATTCCTTTGCCCTCTGATAAGCGTATATACTGTAAACGCGTTCACGTACACTGTCCCACACTTCGCTAACTGGCTGCACAGGTACGCTGGATGACAGTGACCGCACGGCGCGAGCAGACGACCGAGAGGGCGGCACGCAAGTGCCATTTTTGTGTTGAAGTGCTTGGCGTCATCGAAACTTGCCAAGCTGCTGCGTGAAGCCAAGTTAGCGTAGCTGTTGGTAGGGGCGCAGCTAGAAATTTGACGTTAATATGAAAAAGTAAAATATCAGCATTTGCTGAGAGTCACACTACTTTGGAGCAGTCTTTTGTACGGCTGAGTAAACTCGCCTCCGAAAAAAGGTGTCAGTACCCCCTTAAAATAAAAAAAAAATGAATAACGCATACACGCGATGATGAGGTTAATTTTTGTAATAGCCTATGTCGCACAGTGGGTGTGAACCACGGTTGTTGAGGACAACAACAAATATGAGGTAAGGCCAGTGGGCTTAGCCGTGCGCTGGACACTTTGCGGAGAAAACGTTTGCATTGTCTTCCCGCACATGTCTGCGTTCATCAGGGTCTTCGCAGCCAGGCCACGTCCAGCCGACATGGACTACAGGATTCGGAACTCTGCGTGTAAGGCCGCTTGCTGCATAGTTGCGGCTATCGTGGCCCTCACGGTTGCTGCTGGAGCTCTCAGCCTCGGTGCACCAGGTAACGCTTGAACAGCCGCGATCCGTTTTCGTGGTCCGGAAGGCAGAGCCATTATAAAGGTGATACCACCGGCTCATGTGTTTTTTTTTTTTTTTTTTCAGATAATGACGCCTTGGAAGTTCGTGGTCTCAGACCCACAGTAATGAGTGTCTTCGAGGCAGACCGGATTTTAGGCTTTAATGACAGTGCATCTTTTCGAAAATAAAACCACCTAATGTTGCGCATGTGGTGCCCGAAACGCGTCTGTTGGAACTTGTCTGTTTGTACCTTGCCTTGTCTCTCTCTCTGTCTCTTTTTCCGGGAAGCGATGTGAGACTTGGATATAACGTTTGCTGGCGAGCCGATGTGCGTATGCCACAGAAACTGGCAAAACCTAACAACTCTCCAATAGTCCGCTAAGGAATAAATATCATAGTCAAGCGCAAGTGTGGCAAGCCAGACAAGAAATTGCATGTCGCGACAATACTCGCATTCCCCGTGACATATACGTAATGCCGGTGGGGGTAGAAACATTACAGAAAATAGTACCAGAGAGGTGCGGCATAGTGCATGATTGCCGCGGCCTCACTACATTTCAGTACGCAAAGATCACGAACACAAGATAAGAGAAACCCAATACGTCGTCCTTCAGCAACTCTCTTTTTCCGAGAACTATTAGTCAGTGAAATCGACTTCCTCCCACGATTGTAGAAATTTCTTCTACGGACGCGTTCTTTTCTGCAATAAAAATGATTTAATGTTTCGACCACTAAGCCTTATAAACTACGTGTGTGCGCCTGGCAGTCGCCATAATCTGTATGGTATCTTGGTTGCAAGCTATGCTGTTTAGTTCTGGTGTTTCATTTGCCCTTGTGCTGGACGATTGTTGTGCTTTGTTTTAATTATCCTTGGCATTGTCATTATTCTTGTGGTTTCCGCTTTTTTTCTCTAGTACTGATGACATTCTACGACGCAGCTGTTCTCGATGCAGATGTGTATGTTTTGTGTCTTCGAATCTACTTCTTTTTTTTTTTTACACAAACATGTGTGAACCTGAAATTTTCATCTTTTTTTCCTGTACCCCCCCCCCCCCCCACCCTAACGATGCCTGTATGGGAGCTGTGGGTATTAAATAAATAAAATAATAAATAAACAAGTGTCCTATGTAGGATGGGTCAAAGCAGAAAACAAATATCACACACACAGTGCTAACTTATCAAGTTAAATTATGAAGTTAAGTTATAATTATAGTTAGTTAAATTGTCATGTACAGCTCAATCGAAAGTAGCTGGAGCGCTGGAAGAAACGACTGTGTCCTTTCGAGCACGTACGCTTTATGCTTGTCTTTGAGTAACCATGAGATGAAATGCTGCAATGACAAAGCAACAAAAGTGAAGCTCGGGACCGCTTATCAATCTTCTGAGGGTTACACAGGTCATTCAGACACAGTAAAGACATTTCCAATAATTCGATTTTGCAGAGGTGCTTGTTGTTATAGAACGTTTGTTCACACCTTGTTGAACAATTGGTGCGAACCATTCCAGCAACACACCCGGCCCCGGCGTAGGATGTGATGCGCTTTACAATTTCTTGTTTAAAGAATTGTCTCACGAGTTTCTGGCATTCCTTTTAAAGAGACGACTATCTGCGGGCGTAAGAATTGTCCTTGGTCATCGCGCTTTCCAAATCCTAGTGAAACAGTAAATTACCAGACAATCTGCATCTACAATTGAAACTTGCTTGGTCTATTATTGACAAATATGTGTCCAAAACAAGGCATTGTCGTTTTTTTTTTTTTTTTTGATGTTTTAGCTCATGGTTTGCCGTCATAACAATTACGGCTGGCAGCATAAAAAAAAACGCTATGGTGGCTACTTAACGTTAATTGATACATTTTTTAGTTTCGGAACTTTTCGCTTCGCCTTCGAGGAGCAGGCGGCCGGCTGCAGTTCCCGCCACCGTGGCACTGCAGTCCAACTTTGCGCCAAGCAAACGAGAGTCGTCTGCTACAGCTATAGGCGCGGTACGTGTAGCCAGTGAGCAGCGTTTACACAGTACTGCAACTTCTTGTTTTAGGCACGACGACTATAACGTCAAGCCTTAATGCGTGGCGGCGTCTTTCCAGGCCTTTGGTAAAAGTAATAGCTCGCGTAAGCGTGGTGCTTAACGAGCATTTGTCGATTAAAGAACCGTTTTGTCGCTCTGTAACTTCTTGTTCTTCCAGGTAGTAGAAACAAAATTTAGAGCTCAATTCTATCAGCCATGTCTCACCGATGCCTCAGTAAAAGCTGTGACTCATCTCGTTCCAGCTTAGTTCTTTAGAAGCCATCTTTGCGAGGCTTAGCATAGGGATATTCGACATCCTGCACATTAACTTGTCACTCAGCCGGCGTAACTCAAGTTTTCTCCGTTTTTTAACGGTGGTGGCACAGATCAAGCATTTTCTTAATTCGCTGGTTGCAATCTGCACGTTTTTCTCGGTTGTTTTTGCAATTCTGTTTTTCTTTTCAAGTGTTCTCGCTAAAAAAAAATGACGCAAGACACTTATACCTCTGTTAGCAGTAGTCACATGGCCACACAACACTTGAAAGTAGTATTTTTTAACGGCGCACTTTCACTTTTCGTTGGGCCAGTACATATATATATATATATATATTTAAATTCAGCATTATAGAAGATTATTACCGGAGGTTTTTCCACCTGCCCAAGAAGCGCAGAACTTTCGTTGCAAAGAAGTTGAAGCACACTTTTTTTTTTCGATCACTCAGAAAAGCCGGAGTTCTCCGAAGGAGCGGGTGCCTGTTGCTGGGATTCTTCTGGTAGATCGCAGCAGCAGTTGGTTGTGGTACAGGTACCCTTTATTATGCGGCTTCCTGACAGGTTCAATGGGAGGTTCGGAAATAAACAAGGAACTGCACCTCTCCTCAATGTCCATGCACCTAGTCGATTTCGACTTCTCCATTTATGATATGCTTATATGTCTTCAGGATGTCGCTTTCTTGAACGTGAACATCGTCCATTGAGGGTCTTTCTCATGGATCTTTCCCACTTCTGCAGTAAAGGCGGGTTGGATGGCGGAGAGAAATGGCGTTTCTCGGGCGTTACCCTGTACCCGGCCACTGGTGCGACAAAAAAAAAAAAATCGTTCTGATGTTCGGAAGGCCTGAGCTACAGCGGACGGGATAGCAGCAACAGTAAAATTAACCTCGGGAGACGTACACACGTGCTCAAGTGCGTCCACACATGTGGACGCACTTGAACACACACACACACACACACACACACACACACACACACACACACACACACACACACACACACACACACACACACACACACACACACACAAGTGCGACCGAACTCCGGCATGAAACGAACGAAACCGCAGCGTCAATGAAGCCAGCGGTGAGCAGCCGCCAGCCGGTTACTTGGCGCAGTTAGAATGCAGCGTTCCCACACTCCCTTGAAGAAAAATCGCGCCCGTCTCGAAAGGAGGAGTTTGGAAACTAAAGAAATAGTATCTATAAACGTTTGTTACTACTAGCATGGAGGATGATGCCTACTACTACTACTACTATTACTACTACTACTACTACTACTACTACTACTACTACTACTACTACTACTCACGACCTCCTCTATAAACTAAAGTTTATAGTTTATAGAGGAGGTCGTGCTACTACTATAGTGAACTAGAATATGCACTATACTACTACTGTGGCTGTTCGGTTTGAAAACTCGGTGGTGTTGCGCTTGCGCCATCGCAAGTGGCGCTGCTGTCGCAACAGGCTGCCGCCAGTCCTGGAACGAGCGCCGGAGCGAGTGTGTGTTTGGCTGCGGTTACGCTGTGTCCGTGTGTTGCAGTACGCACACTGAAGAGATTTTGCGCGCTGTTGTGTTTTATGTCACACGGATGTTTGTTCGTCTGCAATGCTGACTTGTGTGCGTGTATGCACAAGTGGCCATATCACCAACAAGTGCCCGCGACACTTCTGGGCTCCACATACGTGTTCCGGCTCTCCGTGATGCGTGAGATTGCGCTATTCCCCGCCTTTAAAAAAAGGCTGTCGAATAATTCGTGAGTCTGCGATGTGCATTTTCATGCCAAGGACACGTTGAAAACATGCAGCCACGTTGACGATGGGGAAAATGTCGAAAGCGCTCGCGGTATTGAAGTGGAGTCTTGAGCAGGAAGAAGTCTGCATCCCCTGGTATCTTCGAAGCCACACACACACAAAAAAGATTCCAGATCGAGGGAGGTGGTCGAAGAAAAGTTTAAAGAGTGTTAAATCGCCACGCGAGTCAGAAGGCTATGTAGATATGACAAGCGTTGCACCCATGAAATTTAAGCAATATTGAGTGCTCGTTTCCCATCTGCGATAATTTACAGCTCTAATAAAAACAGTCGTTCTGAGGCTTTTTGAGCAATAAATGCTGAAGAGCGCACGCTAGTCATTGAAAAATGTGTAATCGTCGCTAAAGTTCATACTGAAATTTGCGAGAGTTTGTACTTGAACATAGTGGTATTTAGATCGCGTAAAAAGACAAGAAAGGAAAGACAGAGTTGGACAGACAAGCGCTCACTTCAAACTAAAGTTTATTCACAAAAAATCCAGGTTTAAATGTATTTGCGCGTTGCAAAGACATTTATATCTGACGCCATCACCATGTTTTCAAAAGGGACAAAATTGCTCGTGCGCGTTGATGCACTGAATGTGGCTGCGAATGTGGAGGAGTAAGCAGTTGCTGTGCAGTATTGACCCAGAACTTATAAGCTGCGTGCTTTGTTCGCATGTAAACATATATAGCTCCCGAGATCTACCTATGAGCTCCTTTCCGCAACTTGCATAGATAAGCTAGCAAAAAAAATGTGGTCGCGACTCGGCTTGATCGCTATATCAAAGTGTACACATATGCATAACTTAGTCATGTACTTGAGAGGGTTGTCTTCTGCGACCGCGCAATGCCGCGTAGCCAATCTACACACAACGTTAGCGATGTTACCTAGTCTTCGTGGCATTTCGGGGCACCTAATAAAAATTATAATAATCATGATATCTAGAGAAATTTCGCCACAGTGATGGGTGACTGAAATCTCGACCATCTGGTTTAACGTGCACTGACAATGCACAGTACACAGCTAGGCCTCTCGCATTTCGCCTACATCGAAATGCGACCGCCTCGACCGGGATTGAATCCGCGACCGAATGGGCACGTTGCATATATGCATCTAGATCCAGACATTATAACCGCGCTTTCACATCTAACAGAACTGCTCTTGCGTGGTGAGTCACTGAATGTGTCCCCGCAGGCTGTGAAAGAAACAGCTGGTGTGAAGTATCAACTTCAAGTATAACCAGCATACTTTGTTCAAAGCTGAAACTCTCGAGTTATATTAGCTCCTTTCCACAACTTGCGTAGACGAGCCAGCGAAAAAAAAAATCTAGTCCCGACTGGGCTTGGCGGCTACTGAAATGTGTCGACGTAACACATGCACAACATAAGTCATGCGCTTGCGAGTGTTGATTTCTGAAAATGTGCTGTGCCACTCAGTCGATTTGTCTGACAATTTTAATTGATGTTTTTCTAGTCGTTTTTTTTTCAGCTTTTAACGCAAACTATAATGAGTAATGCGAGCGACGTGAGCAGATTCCACTGAACGTTTCGTGCGGATCCAAGAAAATTTTGCCGCCAAGTATTTTCACAGAATCTACCAGAACCGTTGGAGTCTTCCCTGTTAGCTGAAAAAATATTGTCACAGCTAATTGCTTAGACAATGAACAAAACTAATGCCTGTCCCGCTGAACTTGATGAGAGCTGCACCATCCGTCACTTACCGGGTACCCGCTATAATTTGCACAGCATAGAACGTCGCATAACGTGCTTTCAGACATTCCTGCTAATATGTTAAACCTTCATGATTACTAAACGCGAAAAAATAGTCGTTCTCGTCATTGCGTTGTTAAGCATTTCAATTATTGGGCGGATAGCAGCTGCACACACCACGTTCGTTCACGCTCCATCGTAGGCTACAAGGAGCCTGTTGCTGCAGTAGCGCCACCTGGACTAGAAGCTTTGTGCTGCTTTGAATGTTGGTGGAGGCGGAGGGTTTGGCAACTAAACAAGTTCTATAAACTTTGTAAACGTCGACTGTGGCGCCTTCTAGCCACTGTTTTATGCATTACTTTTCTTGCTTATTTTCTCGCTACCACCACTACCGCAAACTTGTAGGTGCTCGGCACGGCGGAGACATAGCGTTCTCATTTTGTACGCTTGTATGCTGCGCGAGGGAAGCGGCTAACATGAGCCGAAACCCTGGGAAAAACAAATTAAACCTCAAGCTTCCGCCGGGCTCCATAGAGCCGCTAGATCACTCGGGGTGCGATCCGACAAACGAGTAAGTAAAAGCGATGCCAACCCAACTTGACCTTTCAAAAGGGACCATTCTCAGCGTCAACAACTGACAGGGCCTCAACTTTCTCGGCATTACTTCATAGTCGCTTTACAGGTGACGATTGCGGCGACCACTAATAATACGTATTTACGCCGCAGTTTAGAGCTGCGCGACAAATATCGCTCAGCTTACTGCAACTTCGCTATTGCTGTATTGTGGCGCTTCGGCAGGCATTCCGGGTGACAGCCCGCCTTCGCCGCCGCATTCATCTGTGCAATTTCGGTCTTTCCGGAAACGTGCTACTTTACGAGTTTCGAGACTGCGCGTCGCATTGTGCGAGTGGTTTCTTCGGATTCCGCTGTATCTACTTTTTACGAGCAGTTCGTCGGTAGATGAGTCACTAGGTCGGCGGCACTGTGTGATTGCGCCGCTGTGGTTGAGCGGCTCCTCTTCGATGCACGTGTCTTTCTTCGCCCGTCTTCTTTTAGGTTTTCGCTCATGTCTAGAGATGTCCGACGCGACCCGCGTCACTGGCGGGCGCGGTGATTTTCCAGTTACAGGAGGTTGTCGGAACGAGGTGCTTCGTGCGGATCGGACCGACGTGCATGCAGCCAGTGTGTCGTGGTTCTTAAGATGGGCATTCTCGACCGCGAAAGCCGACAGACCGGTGTTCATATGCAACGCCCAAGAGGCTCGCGCAGCCGTCTCGCGAAAGAATGTGAGCCGTCTTTTGCGGGGGCGGCCACTGGCAATGCGAGGCGCAGTTTCTTTCTTTTTGTTTTGCTTGAGAACGAATCGTCTACAGTTTCCCCGTGCATCTGGAATTTCTTGTTCCATTCATGTTCGGGGCAGATGTAGCTCAAACAGCCACGGTTTAGCTTATACAAAACAGCAAGGAGTTGATAGGTGGATGCGCGGCGTTTTTGACAACTAACAGAATTCTCTACCAGAATACAGCATCTTCCTTGCTTAACACGTGCCACCTCGGGAGTATCAGCGACGTATAAGTACATGAACGAGTGCCATCTCTTACTTTCACTTTATGTAAAATATGCCCCAAGTAATGACTGCAGCTGCAGTTTGATGGTGAACTTGCAGTTTAATATAATTCCTTCAGTATGACATATGCTCTAACGCAGTTGTAAATGAATGTCCCAGAGGTTTAGAATATCATGGGGATCTCGCCACACAGCACGAGAACATGTATATGCTGAAGACTTGGCCCGTGGCTTTTGTCACAGCCTGTAGATGCAAGGTTTGAACTGTGCAACCCTTTAATACAGGAATGCCGAAGCTTAAGGCTCTACTCATCTTACTTGTGTGTCTTAATGCAAAATAAGTGACTGCAAAATAGACATTTAATACTGGTTTACTATACCTAAACAAAGTCAATACTACTATTAATGATAACTTGCTGGACAACAGCGTGTTATATGTATTGCCAAACAACTTGTCATTGCTTTGTGCAGTGTTCTTAAACCAGGCCAGCTAATTGTCACTATTATCAAACTTTCTTATGCCCACTAGACGGAATTTTTATTCTAAGGTTTACAGTCCTTAAACTGGGTAATAGAATGTAATACTTTGCTGTGCTAATAGAAATCATCCGTCTTGAAGTTGTTCAAGCCCTATGTGGTCCGACACCATTACCCGTCCTTTGTCTATTCTGGTCTGGAACTAAAGAAATCAAAGTTAAAGAAGTTCACTTGCTCATTTAGAGATGGCACATAATTCAGCAAAAAACATCCATGTAAATAAACCACAAAAGAACTTGTTGAGCAGGACCTGACCAAAGACTACCTCAACCATGTTGCGTTGTTGGAAGGTGCCAGGTAACTCACCATTAAAGTCATAGTAATGTTATCATTTGCGAAAATAGAGTAGTGTTAACTGATTTGTTATTTTAATCAAGATGAACTAGCACTGCTCTTCATGGTGTCATTTGTGCAAGGAAAAGTCACTGGTGAATGGAAAATTTATACTGCAGAGCTTTGTCTTCTTTCCTGTCCCAACATTGATTTCTGTTTGTGGCACTGCTTTACTTTCATTTGACTCTAGGAATGCACTGTTATGGGCATCACAGACACTTGCTCATGAAAACAAAAAGAGAATATTTTGTTGATAGCATTGTCATCTCTGAATAGTCATTTCTAAAAATAGAAAAGCGTGCAATGTGTAGAGAAAGCGCACCATATAGGCACAATTTTATCCTTGCTTAAGGTCTCTGAGGTATGTAATTTGTTACACTGCCCTTAAGATATTCATTCGTGAGTAGTAATGACTGTTGAAAGTGCATATCAAGCCAACAGATAGTGTAAGCAAGCCAATATTTAGAAGTTTTATTTCAATTCTTGAAGGGATTGGGTAAACTATTTCTTAAGTGTATATTAAAGGGGTGCTGCAACACTTCTTCAAGTGGCCATCGAACATCTTAAAAGAGCTTGGTTCCTCGTAAATACACAACCAGAAAAAAATTTTAGAATCTCAAGTATCAGCAGAGTTGCAGAAATTTCTCACATGCTTTAATTCCTTTCTCTCGTCTTGACAACTGCGCTGTGAGCTAAGCAGGTAGAGATGGCATGGGAGAAAGAAGTGGCTTCATATGCGTCATGACCTTGGAACACTTTTTTTTTTGCTTCAAAAATTGTGAATTGCATGCTGCACTACAATGTTTAGCTTGTGTGTTATCAGGATCCTCGGGTACGAGTCTGCAGTGTTTTCTCACCATGCTGAAAAATTGTTGCAAAGACCCTTAAAAAGTTATATATATATATATATATATATATATATATATATATATATATATATATATATATATATATATATATATATATATATATATATATATATATATATATGGGAGAAAGATTATATATGGGAGAAAGATATATATTTTCCAACACAGGCGCGAGAGCGAGCAACCGAACACGCCGCGATCACGATGATTTGTATGCGCAGGTGTAGATGATAAACTACACAGTCAGCGCTCGCACTATTTCCCCCCTACACAAAAGCGGTCAACAAGACGTCCATTTAGTAAGGGTACGAGCGCCGGATATAAGGCTTCAGGCGAGACACATGGACGATCTCGATCCCGCGACGATGGCGATCAGAAGCCAAAGTAAACGGAGCCCCCCCTACACAAAAGCGGTCAACAAGACGTCCATTTAGTAAGGGTACGAGCGCCGGATATAAGGCTTCAGGCGAGACACATGGACGATCTCGATCACGGGACGATGGCGATCAGAAGCCGAAGTAACCGGAGCAACGCGATAATTCACAGCCGATATTCGTTCAAGCACGGTGTAAGGACCCTGGTATCTGTGATTGAATTTTTCACAGAGGCCGAGTGTGTGAACAAGTGGCCAGAGGAGCACTTCGTCGCCTGGGTAGAATGACACAACTCGATGTGTCGCGTCACAACGAACTTTTCCCTGGGCCTGAACGGTAGAGCTGTTGGCGCGTGCGATTGTGCGGCATTGGTTGGCAAGGGCAGCGAACTTTTCCGAAAGGGACAGAGGGCATCGCTTGCAGAGGGGACAGAGGGCATGGACTAGAAGCTGGTGTCTACAACAAAAGATGGTGCAAGACCATACACAAGGAAAAATGGGCTGTAACTTGTGCATTGAATGGCAGTGTTATAGACAAACGTGATAAACGGTAGTATTGTCTTAGTTCTTGTGATCGGGCTGGACATACACAAAGATCATGTCTGACAAAGTTCTATGAAAATGATCAGTGAGACCATTTGTTTGCGGTTGATATGCCGAGGTGGTCTTATGAATGGTGTCAGAGGCCTGTTAGCGAGCACATGGGAAAGAAATGTCTTGCCACACGGTCACTCAGGAGAACACGAGGGGCGCCGTGGCACAACGTAACGGCACGCAGAACAAAGTCAGCCACTTCAGAGGCAGTGCCAGAAGGAAGAGTTGAAGTCTCAGCGTAGCGAGTAAGATGGTCTAAGGCAGTAACAATCCAGCGGTGACCGGCGGGGATAGGCGGAAGGGGTCCGTATAAGTCTATACCGATGAACTCGATGGCAGCAGACGGGCACAGGAGAGGTTGTAGAGGGCGGGCGGGAAAAGATGTCGAACATGTTTGGTGCTTACATGATGAACAGGAAGTTACATATTTGTAAACACTAGTGGAGAGGCCACGCCAGAAGCAGCGAGTCTTAATGCGTTCGTAGGTTTTATGAAAACCCAAGTGGCCAGCCGTCGTGTCGTCATGAAAGGCTGCTAAAACTTGCAGCCGAAGTGAACGAGGTATGACCGGGACCCATCGGCTACTAAGAGGATGGTAAATTTGCCAAAGTAATGCCCCATCATGAAGTTTGAAACGCGTGAGTTGTCGTCGTAAGCAGATGTTGGGAGCACAGGACAAGCTGGTGAGCCGATCAATGATTGTACGGCAGTATGTGTCTGCACGTTGGAGCGAGGTGAGGTCTGCAGATTGAAGGAGGCCATCTGGTGCAGTGAACTTGATAAGACGAAGACTGGTCATCTGCGTGGTCACTTGGTTAGGAGGCGCTGCCCAGCAGGTAGATGTTTCATGATTTTTCAACAGCGGACAGCGGGACAAAGCATCGGCATCTAGGTGCTTTCGATTCGACTGGTATGTGACACTGTAGCCATACTCCTGTGGTCGGAGCACCCAACGACAGAGGCATCCTGATAAGATCTTTAAGGAGGATAACCAACAGAGCGCATGATGATTAGTGACAATCGTGAAGCGGTGGCCATACAAATAGGTGCGAAATTTTTGCACGGACCACACGATAGCCAGACATTCTTGTTAAGTAATGCTGTCATTCCGTTCCACTGGAGAGAGAGTACGGCTCAAGTAAGCCACAACTTGCTCTTGCAAAGCCTGGTCACGCTGCAGCAAGTCAGCACCGATTCCGTGCCCACTTTCCTCAGTGTGTAATATAATAGGGGCTGTAGGATCAAAATGGCGAAGAACTGGCCCTGACGTGAGGCATCGCTTCAGGGTCTGGAAAGCAG